TATATATATATATATATATATATATATATATATATATATATATATATATATATATATATATATATATATATATATTAAAAATTAAAATAATGTACTCCGTAAGTTTAAGTTATTTTCTTAAAAATAATCTTGATTTATTATGTTCAAATTCTATAGATAAAATAAATTTATGACATGTGAAACCAAGGTCAAAGTTTGGAATCACAAAAGTGATGTGAGAAAAATTATAAGAAAAAGTGATATGACATTAAAAATTAAAAATAGAAGAGGAAGTGAAAAAACCACTAAGGTCCATAATCTCTCAGTCTAAATTAGCAGCCAATCAGTGCGACATCAGCGTTAGTTATACTCACCATCTCACTTACTTCACACATGTAGGCCACACATCCACTCCAATGATTACACTATAACTTTTTTTTATAAAAATAACCTATTTCTATTCGAATTAAATTCTATCATTGATAAAATAATGCTAGAAAATAATAAAAATTTATTTTGTTATTATTATTTTATTTTTTTATTTTATTCAATTATTAATTTTTATCGTTATTAATTTTTTTCCCTTTTTATATTATATCAAATTAATGGACCAAAAAAACACAATTTATTAAAAAGCACATGCATTACATAAATAAAAGAAAACTATACGCACGCATTTCTTAAATTAAGAAAAAAGATGTAAGGAAAAACATGAAAAAACGGTAAAATAAAAACATATGAAATATAAAAAATCATTGACATTTAGCTTCATATTGTTTTCTTATTGCTACCTTCATCTGAGTCAAGGCAAGATCACGCTAACCATATCGTCATACTTCGTGCCAAGGAACACCATGTCTGTAACGACCCGAAAACTGGTTTAGTAGTTAGCCGTTATTTTAATAAAAATATACTCCCTCCGTCCCGAAATAGATTACAATATTCCCTCACATTTTTGTCCCAAAAAGAATTGCAAAGTCAATAACTTTATAGTGATTTGACTCTTTTACCTTCCATTTACTTTTCTGCGAGCCACTATTCACACTATTTGGGGGGATTTGGGGGTAATTTGGGGAAAAAATTGATTTGACTCTTCCTTAATTTCAACTAAAAGGGAATATTGTAATCTAAAGTGTGACGAGTATATATTATTTTATGACTTAAAAAATGGACTATTTGTAAAGTTAATCCATTTATGTAAAAATTAGGCAATTGGAAGATCTCGTGAAAAAGTGACCAACGGTATAAAGTTTGTTAAGTTTAGATTTTTGTGTAAGAAGTTATAAGTAAAAGAGATGTTACAGTTCAATAAATAAATATAAAGATTTTATAATAATATAATATTAAAATATATTTCCTAAAACTAGAATTCCTAACCCATGTCCAAAACAAACTATCCCATTCCAACCCAAAATACATCTTTTATATATATATATATATATATATATATATATATATATATATATATATATATATATATATATATATATATATATATATATATATATATATATATATATATATATATATATATATATATATATAGACAGACACACATACATACATGTTACAAATAATAGCGGAAATAAAAATTAATAATCCGAACTTATAAAACGTTCAGATTTTACAACAGAAATAAAATAAAGAAAATTGGAATCTTTGGAAGCTCGAACACGAACGGACAGGAGGAAGAACACGGACGGCAGGAGCAAGAACACGAACAGCAGAGGCGGCAGGGGGTCACCGGAGCAGTTTTTCAAAGTGGAGATTAGGAAAGCGGAGTCGCTGGAGCTTTGCTTAAGGTAGTATTGCCCGCCTCCCACACTGGAAAGCGTGGGCAATCTCCTCCCAGGATAAAACCGCAACGTGCAAGGTCTAGAGTGGTAGAACCGTGCACCGGCGAACAAGAACGACGGGAAGTTATCGCCAGAGAAGACGATCGGAAACGGGGAGAGAGGTGGACGGTGTTTTGTGTTTCTGAGCTTATCACTGTCTCTCAACCAACCTCTCCTTAAATAGGAGGAGGTTTGGCTAATGGATGGACTCGACGGATATACCGAAGAGTCTCAAGTGACTCTTTGGTCGGAATGCATGCATTTCCCTTGGACAACCACACTTCGTTAATCATGAAGTGTCCACGCGTGTCCAATTCGGTCTCGTAAAAAATAGCCACACCCCGCCGCAGACGCGGGCACGGGCGCAGTGCGAGCGCCGTGCCTCGCCTCGCCGTGACGCGCGTGGGTTGTGTCGTGACGTTCCGAGCCAAGCCGGAAGGACGACGGCGGCGGCGGCGCGCGAGGAGTCCTTTCTTGTTCCTTTTATAAACTCAATTAAATGCTTTAGTTTAAATATGGGAATACGACAGGTTCAAGAACCGGTGTGGGACAAAGGTTTTTACTCTTTCCACGTGTTCGACTTTGTGAATTAATCTCTCATTCACCTGAGCACCATTTTTGGCTTGTAATATGTCGAAGCACTCATATCACTTACGAGGTTAATCATCCATAATTATTTTCGGAAAATAATTCTGTGGACCCTACCGAATTTATGTCCAAAAAATGTCCAATTTTAACTAAAAATTCCAACAATCCCCCACATGAATGAAAATTAATTCATGTGACTAGCAATAACTCTGAAGTTGAAACCTGCAAGAGTAGGTAGGTTCAATGCCTTTGAACCTACTCTTTGTAAAGTTTACCTTCTTTACTAGATGTTCACTAGAACGTGATGTCTTTGAACTGTACTGCCGTTTACGTAAACGACGATATGCAATACACCAGTTCCAACCAACCATCATTCCGTTCTCATGGGTGTGCCCATTATGGTCGTGGAACACATATCTGGTTCTGCGAGAGTGTCAGACAGTATCAGCCCGAAATCCTCTTGTTGAAGCGACTGCACTTCACTCTTACATAGGTGATTTTTCTAAGAGTATCTCGATTACTCTACTTGGACCCCATTGTCCATAGTTCAAGAATCATTAAAGCATCATGTTAACCTCATCGTTTTCGGGAGTCACTGTATCTCGGTAGGGATGGAGGGATGTTAAGTCGGTGATCCGTCTAGCCCCCACAGTGACCATGCTTCGTCCCACAAGTAGGTTGTCCCTTTGAACCCAGGTACCACCCAGGTTGGGTTTTCCTTCATGGAACGTTCCCAGCACAGGGTATGGATTTCAGACCCATTCCTACCACTAACTTCTCATGTTGTTCGTTTGTTAACCCTTTGGTTAGTGGATCCGCTAAATTATCCTTTGACTTAATATAGTCAATTGAGATAATGCCCGTATTGAGAAGTTGACTTATGGTTTTGTGTCTACGACGAATGTGCCTAGACTTACCATTGTACATATTGTTTCGAGCTCGTCTTATTGCTGATTGACAATCACAGTAGATGCAAATAGGAGGAACTGGTTTTTCCCAGTTTGGAATATCCTCAAGAAAATTCTGAAGCCACTCGGCATGTTCTGCGCACTTATCTAGTGCTATAAACTCGGACTCCATGGTGGATCTGGCAATTAACGTTTGTTTTGAGGATTTCCAAGATACAGCTACACCGACTAACATAAAGATGAATCCACATCTGGATTTTGAATCTTTATTATCCGCAATCCAATTGGCATCAGTGTACCCGGGTTTTGAACAAAGGTTTTGCTGACCGAACCCGAAGTTGACCGAACTGAAATTAACCGTTAAAAATGGGTCAAACCCGACTGAACCCGACCTGACCGACCCACGAATGTAAGAGTTTTTCAAAATCATATACTTTAATATATGTAATATAATGTTATAAAAATAAGATTTTAATTATATCTCTTTGCTTTCTACTCGTTCTTAATGTTTAAATATATATTTTCGTACAAAATTTTAATGATACTGCATAATTATCTTAGTGTTTTCAAATTTTTTTGTATATTTAGTTTTTTTATTCGTATTATTAACAATCAGTCATAAAAATTACCTAAAATTTCAAAAAATAAATGAAAGTCATAACTCTTTGGGTCGACCTGAACCCGATGACATTGGGTCATGAAAATGTAGCTATCAACCCGAACCCGAAGTTAACCGAACTCGAAGTTAGCTGAACCCAAGGTGATCGAACCTGAACCAGACTTGACCGACCGTTTTGCAAGCTCTACGTTGCACCCACACCCTCTCCGATCATTCTCCGACGAAGAGGGGGCATTGCTTTTTATTTTCCTTTTTATCTCCTTTTTAACTATCTGTTTCCTTTTCCTAGTTTTTTTATTTTCTTTTCAATTTTTTATAATGTTTTAAAGAATTCCAAATTCTCCGTGTTTGAAATAAAAATAAAAAATTTATCATATACTCCATCTATCTCAAATAAAATATTTTCACTTTTTGTTTTCTAGAATAATTTTTTTGGTAAGTTCAAAAACAAAGTATAGAATAAAAATAATAATATGGAAAAACGAAATGAAAAAATCCAAACATGCAAAAAAGAGTCTTATACCAAAAGAGATTTTCAGAACGCCTAAAAAGTCATTAGAATTGAGATGTCTAAAAGGACATTCATTTTTATTTTTTAATTCTATTTCTTATTTCTTGAAGCTCTCAAAAAAAGTTTTTACTTTTTTATTTCGGAAAACAAAAAATAAAAACTGTTAATTTCAGACATATAGATGCAGTATATGTTATCTTTTTTTAAAGACCAAATACTTTTAAATTTTAAGAAAATTATAAAAGAAATTAAAATGATATTTTCAAAAACTTGATTAATAAAAGAAACAAATAAAGGAAAAAGGAGGGAAAACAAAAAATAAACAAAAAATAAGAAATGACCACCAGTGCCTTTGGTATGGAAAATAGGAACCAATGCCACCTTTTCGCCGGAAAGGATGGCCGGAAAATGATCATAGGGGATTAGGGGATATAGATGCAAAGTTTTGAAACTACGGAAACTTTTGAATAATTTTTGAAAACAGGAAAAGCATATGTGTCTATTTTTCAAACAGAGATAGTGATGCAATGTGACCCGGATATGTATACCTCCTACACTAAAGATGCTCAAGTATGCAATTCAATATTATTAAGCCCATGCTCAAAGTTTATGTGCTCAACCAATATTATGATTTATGATGCACGTCGAAAATTTTAAAAGGTTGCGTTTTGGTCATTTGAATCGGGTGTCTCTATAATAAATTAATTACCCCTGCACTAAAAAAAAGTTAATTAATTACACTAATTAATGTTTGAAATTTGAGTATGTAAATTGAGCATTTAAGTCTCCGATATCATTGAACATGGTTGAAAATTTAGGGCTCATTTGGCTATGCTTACGAAATGCGACCCTATCAATTCTGTCAATTCTCATTACAAACTTTATCGTTATTAGAGTAAAGTCTTTAAAAAAAATTGATAGCTAGAAGCTAGAACTTAATTATTAGAACCTTGATTGAAAACATGATAATAGAGTCTGAACTTGATAATTGGATATGGCCAAAATCTGAATCTAAAGACTAGAACTTAGAATCTAGAATTTGGATTAGGACATTTTTCAAAGCTTGCAAATTCTTCCGTGGTCATAAAGTTTTGCGAAGATATCCTTTGGAACCAAAATAGCATGCCAAGTGAAGAAGATATAATTAGGAACCACAATGTTTTGTGTAAACATATTTTGGGTCCTGCAAATATACCACTCAAAATAACTTTTTGTTCTTCATCTCTCCAATTTACAGTACATAACCGGTACGTTTAGTCATTCCCATAGTAAACTCTTATGGACGAAGTATGAAGATTGTTGAAATGAATGCAAGGCAGCTCATTTGAAAAACTTAATTGGCATTTTAAAACCCATTTCTTCAGAATGAGGGTTTTTATTAAGTTGACAATTTAAGCCCGGGGCATAATACAAAACACCCGTCTGCATAGAATACAAACATATTTAAACTATTTGCAAATGAATAGACGCTTCCCCGCTTCTCACAAGTTTTTTTTTTGAGTTTTTCTTTTATCACGTATTGAGAACTGCAACACGGGGGGCAAAAGAGATAAAGATGCCGCTTTCTTGAATTTTTCCCTTTCCCGTGTTGAGAACCTCGTCTAAATTACCAATGACCCTTTCTATTCTATGTTATACATTTCATTTACATTTCATAGCACTATTTGACAGGGAAAGAAACAGCGTACACATTACAAAAAAAAGGGGGGGTTGTGGCTAATAAGTAGTAAGATAAGACTATCTTGATGCAACCACAAGGCCCGATGATTCCCCTCCAAAAATACACACACTTTAGCCACCTTTTCCCATCAACAGAAGGCAAAAGAGGCTCTAATCGAAAGTATTGGCACTTCAAATTGAACCACTAAACTTAGTGGTGGGGGTGGGTGGGGGGTGTTTAAAAAAAAAGAATGAACTAGAGAAAGGGTGATGTTCTTGAAGATCTACCTGGCGTTTGAGTTCTTCTGTAGGGAGGAATCTCAAGCGATGGGTCCAGTAAGTTGTTCCTTCTGTTGGCTCTTGCTGCAAAGGTTGGGTTATCATTATGGTTGTTTTCGATTTCGCCACCAATTTGAAGGTAAGTTCGGTGTGGAGGAGAAAGATAACTGAATCCATGTGCATTACGTTTAAGAGGACTTGAACATGGTGACACGGGCAATGATGTCACAGCTTTTGCATTCTCTCTTCTGTCGATCGAGAGAAAAACACACACACGGGGAGAAAACACACGTTCAGAAAGTACACACTTTATGGATCTGAAAGAGTACAGAAAAAAAGGTCATTTCGCTGCCTATAATTATTTGTATTACCCTGAACTGGTCGTGGCTCTAGAGTTGGTTACCACGGGCTTGACTGAATAATCTCTTCCATCAAGAGAAGCAGTATTTCTTCCATTGGGTGGAAATTCCAAAGCCGGCTGTGGCAATAAAATGCAAATGAGACTACAATCAAAAGGATAAATATATTAAGGTTGTGTTTCGAGCCCAAAGAATGGTAGGGAAAGGGGAAATCATGCCAAGGAAAATGATCCTTCATGTCTAATTTCAGAATGGAAAATTTTAAATAAAAGCAATTTGATGGCATGTTTTTAATATTTTACATATATGTTGATTTCATGAAGAATATAAATACATATAATTCGAACAAATATCTAAAAGTGATACACAGAATTTGAAAAGTTCTCTCCATTTCACTTTTTAGTTTCTTAACCTATCGAATTTCAGGTTCCAAACGCACACCAAAGGTGTATATTAAAGCAACACGGTGTTAAAGATCAACTAGAGATCAGAATGTCAAGTAGTTCCAGCTCATACAACAGTTACTCTATTACATCATGAGACATGATTCAGCCATATCCCTTGAGATCTGAAATTGTCAAATGAATCTACTGTCTTTTCAACATTTTCAATCACGAGGAACCCCCCCCCCCCCCATCAAAGTAAGCCAAGAGGGAATCACCATTATGGAACTTTTAATTCTACTTGCCCTGTAGGCTGTGTGATTGCACAAATGCATGTGTGGGCAATGATAAGAAGCACCCGTACTGGAACTACGTGAAAAACATTGTTACCGGTGTGCTCACTAAAAAAAATCAATAGTCAAGATGAATACCGGTGTGCAATTTCCATCAAAACTCCGCGGATGTACTTGATTGATTATATTAACATTGTGGGCAACTTTTGTTGGAAGTTGGTCTTTAACAAAAGGGTGTTCAAGAAGTTGAGATGCTGTAGGTCGTGCAGAAGGATCTCGCTGCAAGCATAGCCTAACAAAACTTTTTGCTTCAGTGGACAGGTGATCGGGAATGTCAGGCATGTCTTTGCTATTTCCAATCTTAAATATTGCAGCAACCTGTTCATAGAAGATGGTCAAAGAAATGCCGCAATGTATGTGTTTGGTGATCAGAATGTATTCTGCAACATTTTTACCCCTTCATATTGACTCCAAGGTGGCTTTGATGTGGCCATTTCAAGAACTGTACAGCCCAGGCTCCATATATCTACTGCAAGGCTGTAGCCATTTGTATTCATCACCACCTGAAAGTATGTAATTCAATGACTCTGAAACTTTAAATGCTTGTTTGGTTGGGATAATTTGAATGGGAAGGAGATATTTCTAATGATTCTGCAGTTTTACTAATTTTACCCCTATGTATTGGTGTTTATAAGAAGACACTCACTTTAGCCACTTCCCTTCCAACCTACTAAAACTAATAAAAATAAATTTCACCCCTCCCGTACATAATTTCTTACCCAAACAATGGGTAAAGGAACTCTGCTTACAAAATTGAAGATCAAGGAACAAGAAAATTGGGAGCAGCGAAAGATACAAGAGAGAAAAGAGAGAGAAATACCTCAGGTGCCATCCAATACGGGCTTCCCTTGAAAGATAGCATTGAAGAATATGATGTAATCTGGTTGGAATCCAAGAAATTGTGAGAGTGATAGCAAGAAAATATATGCCAGTTTGAAGAAAGAGCTTTTTGAAAAACTTTTAGCCATTTTACCAAGTCAACTAATCTGTGTTAGATAGACAACTTTGAAATTATCAGTTTGACTTTTCAAAAAATCTAATCAGCACAGATTTTTCAAATGCAACGGTAAATATCAGCCCTGCCCCATAACATTATCTTTATTAGTTAAAGAATCCATCAACAGCCAACTGCATTTTATTTATTCGCTTGCACCCATACCATTCTTCACATATTCCTTTTGTTGTCTATGTGTACATTGACTGTGTTCTTTTAAATAGAATCTACTAACAACTCACTAATGCAACAATCAACTAAAAACTGTCCTCCATGTGGCTATTATTGTGTTACACTCTTTCAAAAAAATTTATAGTCAAATAATATATGAAGCAAAAAACATTCAACCCATCTATTTTCAATCATCATTTTCTCTTCTTATTTCTTATGGCATGTGTGCCTCTTGTGAATACGAATAGTTAGTCCTGTGAGCTACTCTGTAAATAGTCTCAAATAGTTAAAATTAGTCTATTTATGGTTCACAAAGAGAATAGCTAGAGAAAATGCTTTTGGTGTGTATAACCAATGAAAATACTGCCATGTCTTCCTTGAGAGCTATTTGTTTTGAAATCCAAGTGTTAAATTCTGGAATTAGTTAAACCGCATTTTCACTAATTGCCATGAAATTGCAGAGTAGTAAATGATTTGCCCAAAACATTAAGTTGATACGTACATGTTTTGCCATGCCAAAATCTGCAAGCTTGATTTCACCATTGGGGTCAACTAATATATTTGCTCCTTTAATATCCCTGCAGGAAATCCTTGTATGTTACCAAGTTGCTATTTTAAAGAGAAGTAAATTGATAAGCGTTACTTTGAACATATGTATTACCTATGCACGGTGTTTCTTGCATGCAAGTAGGCCAGGCCAGATAGAATTTGCCTAGCATAATTTTGAATAACAGCCTCCTTAAACGATCCATAGTCTTGCAACAGTTTATGAATGGAACCCCCAGAAACATACTCCAAGTAAACTGAGAGCGTCTCTTCTCCCTAAGCAAAAAATACAAAGAAATGTTATGTGAC